AAATTTATGTTATGAAAGGAAACATACATGGTATTTAGAAATTTCCTCTTCGACAATAAATAATTTCTAAGGGTGAATCCAAAGATAAAAATTAATTTACAATGTGAGTCCCTTTACTTAATCTTGTGGGTCTAAATAAGCTTTAATTGTAATTAGTAACAACACCACACACTTATATAGCACTTACTATGAGTCTGGCACTACTAAGGGAACTTAAATACATTAACTTACTTTATCCTCAAAGGACCTCGGATACTAATCTTATCTCAGTTTTACAGATGAGGAAATGCTTACTCAGAAAGTTGAAGGATTTGTCCAAGGAAATAGCCCTGCTAAAATTTAGATTTGAACTCTGGCAGTTTGGTTCTAGAACCCAGCTGTCTGGATACTCTGAATACCTGATACACTCTACAGCCTAATTAAGAGAAATAAAAGAAACATGTTTTTTTAAAGTCTCAAGTGGTTCTTTCCCATTATTCTTTACTATGTGAGAAAGCAGGGTGCAAGGCATAAGAGGAAGGTGGAGGGATGGGCTAGACAATAAATAACATGGAAGACTGAACAAAGACCCTGCTTCCGGGGTCACAGTTCATCCTCACAGATGATTAGGCTGTCCTTAGAGAGTCCCAGTTAGACTCCTCAGGCTCTGTCCTGATGAATGCATAGGGCATCTCTGAGAAAGTCACTGGCATAAGCTTCTTCCTCGTACCTTCCCAAATACCTTATTCCCATGCCTTCCTCACAACCGCAACTTCCAGTCTATGGTTTTCCATTGCATTAGGTCTATTGCTTGTTCCTTTCCCTTCAATGCTTCTTTTTGCCTGGGGCCCACAATATACTGGAAGAAAGGTACTACCTTTTACCTATATCCCAGGGTAAGGCAGAGAGATGGAAGAGAATGACTGACATGATAAGAAGCGGTAAGAACTGGAGAGAACTGAAAATGTACAACCATATCCCTTTATCAGTTTGTGTAAGAATATGTGTTGCATGCCTGTGTATGTAACACAGCTGCGTAGTTCCGAGCTTTAAAGAATGTATCTATATACTTCGCAAGTTATTGATGTCAACTGGGAAGGCACAATTGTTTACTAAACAATAGATTAGAAGGACATCTCCATGGATGTAAAATCTCCTAGAAATATTCATGTAGTGAGACCATATGATCATAAACTGTTCATGAAAATCAGATTTATTCTTTTACGTAAATCAGAGTTTACCGCAGACTCTTATATGACATGCAAATAAAAATGTCACGTTTGCTCTTTTTCCTCCCCAAATACGGGATACATATGATAGGTGAGAACGCAGTATTCCAACGGTTGTTAATATTCTTTTACTTACAGCCCTCATAGATGTCAGTGGGGATATGGACTGCTGCGTGCTGGTAAGATATTTGTCGTCCAAAATTAGCGTCATCGATAAACACAGGTTTTATTCTCTGGCTGCCTGGCTCACTCTCATTTTTTTCAGGCTATATAGGAAAAGATAGATATAATAAACAGAATATTACAATGTGTGCCAACAGATATTTTCACATTCGCTTCTTCATTTGCCAAATGAACATTCTTTGAAAAATATATCTATGAGAATATTTTTAAATATAGTCCCATGATGGCACTGGATACATGAATTTGCATTCAGGTATTAGCATTCACATTAAATCCTCATGATATTATTCACATTACAACTAACATCTCATTTCCTCAATTTTTTACTGATAACATAATATTTGTGTATACTTACAGGGTACATGTGAGATTTTGTTACATGCATCGAACATGTTATGATCAGTCAAGGTTATTTAGGGTATTCATCACCTCGAGTATTTATGATTTCTATATGTTGGGAACATTTCAAGCCCTCTCTTCTAGCTATTTTGAAATATATGATGCACTGTTGTCAACTTTAGTCACCCTACTCTGTGATCAAACATTAGAACTTATTCCTTCTATCCAACTGTAGGTCCTTAGCTGTTAACCAACCTCCCTTCATACCCACCCCCTCCCATTCCCTCAATGTTGTGGTGATTCGAGATTATCCTGGGGCTTTCCCACAGACAATACTTAAAATATACATTTAAAGAACAAGAATATGACTCAAGCATTACAAAAGCTATCCATGTAACCAAAACATTTGTACTCCCTTGATATTTTGAAATTTAATAAAGTAAAATAAAGAACAGAATAAGTGCCTTTAAATACAACTGAATTAAAATCATCTACTTTAAATAAAATTCACAATTTATGTAACTAAATTTATATTGGGCAGTTGAAGGTAATTCTTGATTTGACAACTAATGGTACGTGGGATGGCAATAATATAGCAACGATTCTTTAATGTCATGGTCCCCTGATTTTTTTCATGTTTTCCAAGTGTATCAATCATAGTGTTTTTTAGATGTTTTTCTTTATTCTGTTTATTATTTACTTATTTAATGTTTTGTTTTTTTTAAGAGACAGGGTCTCACTCTGTTGCCTAGGCTGGAGCACAGTGGCCTGATCATAGTTTACTGCAGCCTCAAACTCCTGGGCTCTCGTGATCTTTCTGCTTGAGTTTTTAGAGTAGCACAGACTATAAGTGTCTACCATCACACCCAGCTAAATTTTTGTTTTAAAAAAGAAAGTATACTAAGAAAGAAGAGATCCATTATAACTCTAAATTCAATTAAATCCTAAATTCGACCAATTCATCTCCTGAGGTAGGAACTAAAATCCAATCAATATGATTCAAGAACTCCCACAGGAGTTTAAAATTGAAGATTAAACTTCCATTTATTGGAAGTATGCTTTTGAAACTTGAATTATCTTGTTGCCCTGGCCTTGCAAGAAAACTAAGAATTTCATTTATTTATCCAAAATGCATCTATAACTTTTTTTTGCTATTTATATTAAACCTTATTTATCCAGTCAAAACAAAATATAGTTGTTTCAACTCTTCTCCCTAACCGTATTTGTTTTCAAATAATATTAAGTTTTAAGAGTACATATTGAGGAAAAAAAAAAACACAACTATTTTGGGAGGAAAGAGTGGTAGAGGAAGAAATGAAAGGATGTATACATAGCAAATGTTACCAGCACTATTAGTGGCATTGTAGTTAAGAGGAATAATCATATGAATCTTTGTGCTTTCTTATTTTTTTCCCAATAATGTAATGAGCATGTATTATATTTATGATTAGAAAAGAACTATTAATTTTTAAGTCTTTTTTATAATGCTATTAAGCATTATATGCTTATCTCACTAAGGTAAAAATGATATTTCATATGAATCCTCACACTTAAAATTAGCGATTTTAAATACCTTTTATGGAAGTTCTTGCTCTTTTAAATTACCACACAAATGGCTTTTAGAAATACCTTTAAAACAATAACGTACTTCTCAACTTGTATAATCGTGTATCAAGACTCCCTTTAATGTAGAGTTGCTAAATATTGTATATTAAAGAAAAAAATAATAGTGATGCTTTCCTTGGATCTCCCTTTTGTAGTTTACATAAATTAAAATAATTTTATAAAAATATTAGAGTTTCTAAATTCAAATCATTTATCTTTAAGCTACTGAAATTATTGTTTCTTATACCATAATAATCCATGTCTTTACTTATCTTTATATATTATGGCAGTATACAGTTTAATTGAAATACAGCAAATACTAGACACAAAGGAATTGACTCACATTTTGGAGAAAAAATACATAACACATACTGTCTAGTGTGTTGACTAAACATCTCAAATTCTCCCCCTGAAATTAAGATTTCCTTATTTTGGGGGCCACATAATAAGAAAAAATAACTTATACCTCTTTCCAACCTTTTTTTCAAAATATCTCTTCTGAAGCCCACAGACTACCATATATAAATGTGTACAGAAAAACTGAACAACTAGATTCTAAAATATATTCAAATGCATTTAGAAAAACATAAGTGAAACATAAAATGCATGATTTTCAAACTATTATTCTCAATAATTTGTTATTAAATAATAAATCACTCAGAAGTACAGAATAATGTTAGGCGGGTAGGTCATTCAATTTTACAAGCAGTGCATATTAGCAAATTTAATTTGGAAAGTTACAATCATAATTCTATGATAGATACAAAAAGCAGCTGCATATTTAATATATTTATATCAACTAAACACACTTAGAATTGATATTTATTTATAAGAAAACATTGCTTTTTAATATTTTATTCTCCTAAAACAATTTCTACTTGTAGCAAAATGTTCAAAAATTAAAGTCTATGTATTTTACCTAATTTGCAATGAAATCTGCTTAGTCATTTTGCACAATTCAGATTGAACATGGTCACTGATAAACTTTGCTCACAATCATACTATGTTCATGTCCCTCTGTTGTCTATGATTTTTGTGTCCCACAAAATTGTGAAAAAAAATAGTTGATACCGAATAAAAGTGGTTCACTAAGACTCTCTATAGAAGCATCACAATTTCTATTTTTTTCTCACTGGTAAAGGCATTAAATCAGTGGACTGTGGTGTAATGAACCAAATTCTTCAATAACCAGAGGCTTAGCCTTGTATACAATTGTCTAATATGTATGTATATTTTTATATACATATAATTTCCACCTCCAAATACATTCTATTTTTTACAGCTGTTTCATAGACGTTGCTTACAACAGGGCCTTGCAACTTTTATAATGTAGATACTACTAATTTTAGAATTTTTAAAACCTCAATTTTATCACCAATATCAAATAAAATTCTGGATGTGGAATATGCCTTTAAACATGACATTATAGTCCAATGTAAATAATTACCACGGATAGGATGTGAAATATTTCAGATAGACTTTCATACAGTTACCAAATCTGAATAGTCTCATATATACTGGCATGTTAGTAGCAACACTATGGATTAAAAAGTAATGTTTCTTAAAGCTGAATAGTACTCCATGGTATACATATACCACATTTTATTAATCCACTCATGTATTGATGGACACTTGGGTTGTTTCCACATCTTT